ACTTGACATGTTTATTACTACCGTGTGCACTACTATCAGTTGAAGACTATCCGCGGTGAACACGCGGTATTGATTTCAAGGTTGCCTGACATGCGCTTGTGCTAGCATTGCAGGCATTCGTCTGCTGTCATTCTGACAGATCGTGTGTGTGTGCAATTAATCAGGAAGTGATCGTGCAAGTTATATCTTACAAACTTGGCTGTTGAAAAGCAAAAGAGCATTTTAACATTTTGCTCTAACTTAGCCGAATCCAATGAGTTATTTGAGAAACCAAATATGTTAATGAATAGTTTGGATGAAATGGAAAAACTATTTGTAGTTTATATTTTTGATTTCTCTCTGCAAGCTAAAGTGGTAAATTGCTTATCATATCTTTTACGAAACATAAACGAAGAGGAGTTGTTTAATTAATTGTATGTGATGTATGTGAGGTTTGTGGATAATGCATCAACAACACAAATTGAGAAAAGAATATATAGAAATTTGATATTGATGTCTCAGGTAGGGATTCGTAATCAGTACAGTGTCGGCTCGATGTTCGCTATATAACTTTTGATGTGACGGAATACTGCATGCCAATATTAATATTGGGATGATAAGTCTGGCGCAGTGATCGTGATCATCGTGATCATTATCGCATCGGTAGTAGAATTCTAACATTGCCCACTTCTGCCAGTATCAGTCGACTGCAACTGTTGTGCACACATTTATTTTTGAAAAATAAAAATGTGATTTTGAATTAAATTTGAGTACGTTAAAAATGATTGTGAATATAAAATGAAAAAGATATTAAGACGATACTTAAATATATTATTATTAATTTATTTGATTCTTTTCTGTTATATATATATTTGATATTATTACATTATAATTTTCTTGTTACGAATATGTCTAAAAAGAATATTTTGTTAAAATATACTTACATGAAAATTTATATTTGCAATGCCATAAACTCGTTTGATAAACACTCAATTTGATGCTCATGTAATCAATGAGTTTCATTCGTAAACGATAGTTCGATATAAATT